AGCAGCAGCGGCTCCTTCCTTCGTACAAGATGACCCCCCCCCACTTGGAGGCATGTTTTTTAGGCCAAAAATGTCGTCTTGTACGCCGGCAAATACGGTGGTCCAAACTCAGAAGTGTCCTCATTAATATCCAGATCTCTAGAATTCGAAGCCACATACCATCAGTTTGTCTTTTTCCTTGTTTGACAAGAAGTCCTTAATGTAAGCTGACAGCTTCACCATTTCCAGCACCTTAAATAACAAATCTTCTACTGGAGGTACTTTATTAATTTTCCAATATTGGTCATAGAGAAGTTTTGCGGCTGTTGTCGAGCATCTCATGAATAAAGATTTATTCTTTTCCACATGGTTGTCTACTAAACCCAGAAGAAACAGTTCTGGTTTTAATAGCAAGTTAATTTGCAGTGTCTCACACATTATTGAGTAAATTTGCATCCAGAACTTCACCGTCACTCAGTGCATCCACCACATAAGATAAAAGGAGCCCGCTTTCCCTTGACATTTCCAACATTTATTGGAGATCCTACTGTATATTTTGGACAATCTTTCCAGTGTCAGATACCATCTGTACAGTACATCATTTTAGAGAATTTTTTTAAAGGTTGTAAATTTCAGTCCATCTCTCAAAAGACCCTCCTGTTGATCCATTTGAATGTTGTATCCATAGTTTTTGCCCATTTAACCATACTCTTTGACCTGCTCTTCCTCTGTATCAACTTTCAAAAGCATTTCATACATCTTAGACATGAAACGATCCTTGTTATTACACAGTTATTTTTAAAACATGGATTTTTCTTCCTCAAATCATATAATTTTCTGTCTGCTTTAAATCTTTCTGGTAGTTGTACAAATGCAAACCATTGACAAACATCACCACCCTTCATTAATTCTTGTTATTTTGAGTGTTCTTCTCAAGTAAGAAGCATTTTCCTGAATGTAGATTTTTGTCCCCTGAAACAGAGGTACAGAGATCATACAGGGCACGTGATTATATTAAGAGCTGAAATTACCATTCTGTTCTGTCAGAAAGGACTCTGCAGGAAAAACTATTTAAACAGACAGATGTATTAGAAATTCCTAATTGGATGAGGTACACAGCCACAGCGGAAGTGTTACCCCTTCATCATATTAATTTTTAGTACTAATGACACTTCTGTTCTAAAGTGAGACGTTTCATATATAGTGTGAGATTTGCATTTGGTGCAGTCTCTTGTTTTTACAGGTGACAGTGGCTTTGGATTGATGTCCAAGAAATTCACATAATTCAGACCCTTAAATTAAATAATTCACACTTCTTGCTTTTAGTTTCTCTGAAGTGTTTCTGGTAACATCCAATTATTGGATTGGTACTGGGGGACCTCAATCTCCATGCCTCTCCCTGTAAATTTACCAACCTTCTTTATTTTACGGATCCTAAAACCACAAAACCCATTATCCACCAAATGTTGAAAGCAACATGGTAGTAGTATCAGTGTCCAGACACTGCAGGATGTATCTAGCCAGAAGGATAGATACATACAATGTACAATGAACACCTAATGTCTCTGTGAGAAATAGCCACAAATGTTCTTCGCAGTGACTGTATTTGGAAATCATATCTTCATAATTGCAGAAGCAGACCACAAACAACTTTAGGTTCATACATTCTTCCTTTTCCTCTTGCTTGTTATGTCCGGAAGAAAAATATGGAATGCTTTCTCTTCTGTTTTCAATTATGGAGTTCACCTGTTTTGAAATTTTTCTATTCATGATTATGAGGGAGCATAAAAAACTTCACGTTCTTTGGGACTCATTCCCATAAAAATCCTTACCATTGTGACCAAACAGACATTAAGGTATCTTACTCAGCTCTCCATTCAACATTCCCTGCTGTGACTGTGTATATTTAAAACAATGGCCCTCCAAAAAGTATCAGAGTCTGCACAACTTGCTTTTTGGGATTCTATCTCCTAGGCTGTTCATGCTGGTTGTTGTAGTCCAAAAAAAGAACTTTTCCAAGCTCTTATTTCTTCGGGCAAAACTCAAGAAAATCAACGCCTGAGATTGCCCTGCTTGTCTCCTTTGATTATCACCTTTTTTCCTGCGCATATTTGCCTTCCTAGAGCACTATGTTGGAAGTGGCAAGAACCTTTGTAGACCTCATGTTGAAAGATTCCCATGAACATCTACTGCACCGAGACTAAATGGGAAGCATCATCTCCAATGCTTGTCATGCCAGTAAAATAAAAGGGAATCAAAAGTTGCCTGTGGCACTTAGATCAGTTTTAGTACCCCGTGTTCCATGGCCAATGGCCATGTTGGCTGAGAGAGTCTAGGTATGGCAATCTAAAAAAATCATTTCCCCCCAAGTTATTAGAAAAATACAAAGCTGTAAAAGCAAGATAAAATATTGGGAAGATAAATGTATTAAAAATAAAGGAAATCTGAACAGAAACAGTAAGAAAGGTATAAAATGTAGTCACATTTTAGTCACATTTTTAGAACTACTTGATCTATTTAGCATGGCCAGTGAATTATTGGGGGAGGTTGTAATCCAGTATGTAAAGGGGGTGAGGTTGGGGGAAATCAACCTAGAATGCTCAGAGGCGCAGAAATATTTCTAAGATCAGATTCTATTATTGCTATTTGTATCTTGCCTTGCCTTCCACTGTACCATCTAAAGCAGGGGTGTCCAACCTTTCACCTTCCCTGGG